GTTGCGGAGCACAGGCTCTGGACGTGCAGGCTCAGCGGCCATGGCTCACGGGCCCAGCCGCTCCGTGGCATGTGGGATCCTCCCGGACCGGGCACGAACCCGTGTCCCCTGCATCAGCAGGCGGACTCTCAACCACCACGCCACCAGGGAAGCCCTGTAAATCATTTTTAAAACAGATTAAAAATGTAAAATGAAAAATGCAGAATTTGAGATTTATATTAAACAATGAGAACCCTGGCAGTAGAGTAAGAATATATTTCTCTCTATGCTTTAAAAATTATTTTGATGATACTGTTGCCTTTTATTAATAGAATTTTAGTTTTTATATGTAAGCAGTATCTGCAGTGGAGAGAATAGGTAAGAATTAATTACTTTAAATTAAGATACTTTTGCCCAGCACTGAGAAACTCATTACTACTACAAGTACTCAAAAAATCTTCCTCTTTTTAAAAAATAATTTTGCATTAAAAGAGTTGAGGAAACCATGTGAATCTCAAGGATGTTAATTATTCTTACTCTTATTAACCTTTGAGGGTCGTGTTTCCACTTACAGTAATTCACCAGAGGTCATCAGGGATCAATGGAATATTTCATAGGAATCAAGGTCCTCTAATACTCTATTTCAACAAGTGTTCCTCAGAGGAAAAAACTTTGGGCGAGTTAGTGTGGGAGGGTGAGATGTGAATTATTTGTAGCATATTTTCTAAAGTGAAAAAACAAGAGTAACCGTTGTCAAGGTGACTAATGGGCGGTGTCAACTTATCCTCCTGTTTGCTTTTAAGGTCCTGGTGGGGTTTATAAGCAACTTGATCTAAAGGAGAGTGTTTTTAACTGTAGTTCCCTCTCACTTCTAAGGGCTGAAGTTGCATTAGCCTTCTTTACACTGATTCCAGACCTCTTTGCTGAGCCTGCTCAGTTGTGTTTAGCAAAAGCCCTGGCTAGATCAGGCTTGGAGACTTGGACAAGGGACTGCTGGGAGAATACAAAGCTAAGTATAGGGGAGGGAAAGAGACAATTGGCTGTGTGTCCAGGAGAAAGTGTTACCTTGCTTTCCCTTATTTAACCTTGTGATATGCAACAGATTACTTCTTGTAATTTAATTACTGCTCCTTTGACAGGTTGAATTATATAATAGAAAGATAATTAATCCATAGTCAGGACACTTGTGTTGTCTGTTTTCTCATGTAGAATACTTTGATCACTATTAGTCTTAATATTAATTCTTTTATAACCCTGGACCAAATATTTTCACATGAATTACCTCATTTAATCTTCCAGTAACCCTGTCAAATAGGCTGCATTACTCCCTTGTTGTCCTTTTCCCTGACTTTCCTCACTCTAATAGTGAATTTGAAGTGGCTAACAGCCATAAGAAAATAAATAAGGAAAAATAAAAACAGTAAAATAGGATGAATCTTGTGGCTGATCAGAATACAAACTGCATTCAGTGAAATCTTGTATAGTTAGAGATGTGCATGGGTTTGACTCTGAGCTTCCTAGCAAGCAAAGCAAATAATTGAAACATAATCATCTATAGAATACACAGTGCCCAGAAGATAAAACCATACTGGTTATTCAAGAGAAATGCAATTTTTTTCTAATTCCGAGTCTTGAGAGAAATTTCTCCCATAATTCCTCTTGGAGACACGTTGTGGAATGGTGAACTACATTCTCACACTAGTCCTATAATTAATACATTATGAAATTTTAATTATTACTTTTTAAAATGCCCCTTAGCACAGTTGAAGAAACTGAAGCTCACTGAGAGTTAGCATCTTACTCAAGATCGTACAGATGGCAAAAGTAGAACTTGAATCTGAATTAATTTGCTTCCAAATTTAGTGTTCTTTTTACTCTATCATACTACCTAAATAAAATATGAATTGAAATTTAAATTGAGGAACATTAAGGTGTCCTCTGTATCTAAAATTCAGAGAGTTGTTCCATGGATTCCTATTTTTAAAACTCCTGAACAGCCTCTGAAAGCTCTATGGGTCAAGTTAAAAAAAAAGTAGGACAAATTTGTGAGGAATGTATTTTTGGTAATTTTCATTAAATGGGGACAAGACAGATTGGAGAAGGGGGTACTTAATTATGCAAGGGGAAATGTGAGAAAAATGGTTGGTGTGATTATCTCTATTTTACCAGTGGGGAGTTTGGTTTGGTAGAAATTCAATATTGAGGCAATTACTTCACTTCTTTTTGTAAAGAGAGCTCCTAAAAGACCAACATTTAAAAGCACGGATTTAGGCTTTGGCTGCCAACAGCCTTCTATTTGAAACTGACATGTTAAAGAAAGTTCTTTTCTATGCAGTGGAGGATGGTATACTTAAAAAGATGCCAGTTGATTTCTGAAACTTCAATTCAAACAAAAATATGATTAAATAGCTTAGCTGGAAAAAAAAGTGACAGTTTAATACCCTACATTGTACTTTTCTTTGAAGTTCAACTTTGTCAGCTCTCCAAGCTTTGAATTTCATAATAAGAGAGATTTATATATGACCGACCTTACAAATTTGACTTTCAGAATCTAAAGAAAGAATGGATCTTTTCCACCATTGTTATGTACCCTGAATGTTCCCAGCCTCACCAGCTCATGTGTACATTAATACCCACATTTTAGTAGCTCATTATACTCCCTCCGTCCATAACTTCCACCAGTTCCATTTCTCTCCTCAGGGGTTTCCCAGTTATTTCTGAGAGGCCCAGGTCAATGACTTCCATGCACTCAGAAATGGGTCTGCCCCTGAGCTGCGGTACTGGCCTTGTCATTGTTTTCTGCTTGTGAGCCAGTGAAAGAACTCTCCTAGGCTGTGTCACTACGGTCCTTGCCCTCCCCACGAGCTCTAGATGATACAGAAGCTCTAGGGTCCTCAGGATGCCAACACTGCATGGTGGTCTGCGGCAGAGAGAGGAACAGCCCTTTCCCCCAATTCTTGTACTGTACGTTGTCACATAGGTCTTCAGAATAACCCCACGTTTTATCAAGCTTCTCATGGATAAAAGCAACTTCACCTCAACAATCCCTTCCCCGACCTCATCCGTCTCCAGTCACTGTCCTCTTCTTTTATTATGCCTGTGTTCTAGGCATTATTGCATAAAAAGCCCATTCTTTCTCCTCAGCCAAAAAGAAATCAAGAGTCCCTAGGACTTGAGACCAGCGGGTGTCTGGTCATCAGTTTCATACTTGAGCCAAGTACATTCAGACAATTAATCCCTTTTTACCGTATCTCCCCATATATAGGGCAGTAAAAGAAAATGTTTAAAAATAAACATCAAAGTGCTGCTAATTTGTTACACCATTCTATTAAGACTCCAAATTCTGTTGGAACCTAAATTTATCCTAAGTATTTGCTGATCTTTATTCTAAATTTGAACCTCATTGGAAGAAAAATGTCAGTATGTTAATTGTATAATTGTGATATCAATGTGTTGATTGTGAAGTCTAAAAAACAAGATTTTCTCTTAGCATGAATTTTTTTCCATAGGATTAGAGGGTTGGGAGCAGATAGGAGGGCCAGAGTTTCCAAATCTCTACTGTAATTCTGCTTCATTATTTTGTATCCTGTGTCAATATAGCTGACTTGGTTTTAACTGCTAAAAATAATTTGAACTAGGGAGGTGGAAAATACAGGATAGGTCTAATGATTGGGGCTATTTTTATCTTTTCCCTTTTGTACCTAACCCAAGGTCATGAAAAAGCCATAAAAGTACATTTTCCTGAGTAGAGGTGTTGTCAGCTGTGTGTGTATTTTCACTATGCTATGAATAATCACTAAACTCTTTAATAGTGTTGTGTACCTGTTAAATCTCAGAAAATTGAAACTAAGGATTTTGGATGCCACTTAAAAACAGTTCTCTGTTGCTATTGAGTATAATTTGGCATTAAATTGTTGTAGCTAAAGATAAGGTTATGCTATAACTAATGGAAATTTTACAAGTGAAATACTGTAAGCTAAAATTGATATATATCAAAAAAGATTTTCATAATGAATGTATTTCAGAAGTATTTTAATTTTGGTTTAACTTAACTGTTTACTTGCAGTTCGTTTAGTAATAGATGAAATGGGATTTATGAAAACGCCAGATGAGGATGAAACAAGTAACCTTATATGGTGTGATTCAGCTGTTCAGCAG